GGGGGGGGGGGGTCCATCTTGGCTTAGAAGCCCAATAGGACCCATTGTCTCTTGTAACAGCCTCAGAAGCATAGTATCCAGGGTCCCTGCAAAGGACATGCCCAGTCACAAGAGGCACCACACTCAGTGATGCCCAGAGTGATAGCCTCCTACTAGGTATTTACAATTCATGCCAGTCTTTCCAGCACAGATGCAATTTACCATTGTGGGGCTGGGGGAGACATTTTTAGCATAAGCAGTATTGCATGGAACATTGATGGCCTTATACCTTCTCAGGTTTCCAAAGAAACAGAGTTAGAGAGTTAGATGAAGGTCACATTTGTCAATGAAAGAAGAAAAATTTATTAATTCTTTCTTTACATGCAATTTTTGTTTATTTGGGTTTTTTATTAATTGAATCAAATACCCCTTGTTAATGATAGCAGTACTGATTAACTGAAGTAGTTCTGAAGTCAAAGTAGATGTCTATAAGATGAGATTAGAATCGGGAATAGATGAAGCCAAAGATTCCTGAACTGGAAAAAGGCATGACAGTGGGTTGAGGTAGAGATGTGCAGTTTAGGAGATTTTATAAATGGCTGTAGACATGGTAGGAGTCAAAGCCAACAAAGTAAGAGAGGACAGTTGCCCATTCAGCCCAGCCCTTCTGTGGTTCTCTTCGCAAGACCTCTTTGTAAGAGAATGTCCCCCTGCCCTCAGCCAGTCTCCAGATAAATTCATGGATGCTAACTGTAGAGAGGTTGTTTTTTAAGGAGACAGACATATAATCCCTCAAGAATTGTTTTGCCAGAAGTCATTTAATCTCCCTGTCTTCCCACTCACCACTACAGTTCCTCCTGACAACCCAGGAGTGCCTGCATGGCTGGGGTCTGCAATCAGATGTGATCTCATGCATAATGCACTCCTTTGGAAAGACAGTGTAGGGAGCAGAATGGACTAAAAACAGGAAACATACAGCAAATAAATCTGACGGTGGATTTAATGCATGCTCTTATATTCCAATTACCGATGCCTTTACCGATTGATGATCTGACAGCCTGATCCTCTCTAGTTTGAAAGTTCAGACCCTTGCATGCAAGTCCAGGAAACAAGGAGGAGCCTTTCACCTTTGGCTGAGTCGCATGGAAGTTTTTAAAACAATTTGAGTTACCCTGTCTTCTCTGGGTTAAATGAGGGCAGCAATTAACTCATTAATCCTCAGTGCCTTCTCAGGTAACTGTGTGACCTCTGTTTCCTTGAAGGGTGATTCGTGAACCAGTAGGCAGGATTTATTTTGCTGGAACGGAGACAGCCACACATTGGAGCGGATACATGGAAGGAGCTGTTGAAGCTGGAGAGCGAGCAGCTAGATCGGTAAGGGAGAAACACAAGTCACCCTCCCTCTTCAGTCCAGCAGTGGTTTTGGTATCTGGCATTTCTAGATCTTGACACTGATAATTCTGTATGTCTAGTTCTCTGCCCCTTATTGCACTCAGAGGACTCACCTGTGTCCAGCGGGGCAGGAATCTGTCAAGACTACAGAACCTCATTTCACAGTACCATTGCCTCTTTCTTTCAGATTTTGAATGCTCTGGGGAAGGTGACAAAGCAAGACATTGAAGAGCCTGAATCGGAGGTAATTGTGGCAACTTCTTCTTCTTAGACCAGTAAAACCAGACATGAAAAACTCATATCTTTCATCTTCTAGCCTCTGGTGTAATTGTAGGTGCCACTCTCCAAGGCATATTCATGCACTGATTTTACAGATATGTTTCGCCCCTCCTTGTCAGTGCAGGAATCTTCTGCTAATGATCTGTGTTCAATCATCTAGGATGTTCCAGCTACTGAAATCACACACACCTTCTGGGAAAGAAACCTCCCTTCCGTTCCAGGCTTGATGAAGATTGTTGGATTTTCCACATCAGTAACTGCCCTGTGTTTTCTGGCATATAAGTTTAGGCTGCTAGAACGACCCTAAAGTATGCTCCCTGCTTACTCTTTTCCATTACCATCAGAAGGAAAAATGTTGACAAATTAATGGCTGTGTCTCACTAGACTATTGTTAAGTGCACTGGATATAACCCCTTATTTAGTCTGTGTTAAAGTAAAAACAACTCACAGAATCACTTCATTAAAATCAGTAAAGAGCATGTTCTGTCTTATTTGTCTGTGTAGACTAATTCCTGTTGATTGGTGGAATAAAACTTTGTGATCAGTTTCTTAATTTCAAGTTAAAGTGCCCTTCAGAAACAACTTCTATGTCCTGTTTTTCTCCCCTTTAACATAAAATGCCTGATGATTGCAGAAATGAAGCATTTAACTTTTTGTAGAGGTTGAATAGGTGAAGGTCCAGCTTGTGACTGATCTTTTCAGTCTTTAGGAAATGGTGAGGTGTAGGTTCCAGAGTCCAGGGACTCACAGATTCCTGAGGTAAGCAGCTCCCACTTTGGATGAGGGAATAGTACATGAAAGCAGTGGAGGTAGACCAGACCAGTGGGTGGGGGAATACATTTTGTAGGTAGTTGCCTCAGTTATCTCCTGACCACTTCTAATTCCTGCAGTTTCTAGACATGTAGTCTCAGTATTAGCTTGCCTGTATACTTTCTCATTTTGTTTCTTAAAGAGGACAGTGTTTTCCAAGGCATAATGATTAAATTGGCTTTCTGTGACTTTTGTGCAGCTCCCCAGCAGAGCAGAGTGAACTAGTGCCAGGACTCTCCCCATGAGGCCTCTCTGACTAGCTCTACATGAAGCATCATCTCTTCTTCCTGGAAGATGGCTAGACATAACTTCATTCATCATTGATGATAACATTCTCTACCAATTTCAGTAAAGCAGTATTTTCATTTTTTTTAGGTAGACCCTGGCTGTCTGAAAGCTCCTAGTGGCATATATTTTTTCCTTTTTTCCTATGACCATAGTAGAATTGGACAGATCTGTTAACTTAAATATGTCTTCAACATAGTTACCTTAGAGTAAATGTTAACATACCAATTTCTCTCAAATAACTGAAATAGACATTAAAAATTTCTTATTTGTTGAGACTATCAGATAAAGCAAGGGAATTGGGGCTCTATATTATAAATTCACTTGCCTTAGTTATTAAGATTTATAAAAGACATGAAATTGAGTGATTTCACATATGAAGACTAAGTTCTCTAAGGAGTAATGTGGACCAGAACAGTGCCCACCTCATGTCTTTCCCATTTTAAAAACCATCGGACTTTTAAAGCTTCTTCCAAAGGTTTCAGCCACAAAACACTTCGTTTCTTAATATAAATATCTAAGGGAAATATCAACACAGATGTGATCAAATAAAGCAGTTGAGAAGATTCAGTGGACTCAGGTACATAGGTGGTGGATAGACAGTAACACCCTATCAGGCAACATAAATGAATGAACATTTCATTTGAAATGAAGCTTCTAGCTAGCTGAAACTTACTCTTTTATATGCCAACAGTTTTAAGTAAAATTTTTCAAGAACATGCTTCTAAACATTATTAAACAAGCTAGACTCAAATTAATTTTATTTATCAGGTCACTTATTCTATGCTCAATTATTTTATGCTTTTATAATAGTTGATACCATTGTGTTTGACTCTCTACAAAATGTCACAATTGTTTTACAGCTATTCAGTCCACTGCTTCTTCTATCTTCTCCCATATTCAGCATTTCATTTCATATCCTAGTTATCTCCTAACACCCCTTAACATAATCTGTTTTATTTATTGAATGAGAATTAAAGGTTGCCAAAGGAAACCAATCCATTTATTACATAATTAACCTTATCATAAATTCAAAATTAAGTCGTGACCCTGGTGTAAGGATTTTAGGTATTTGTTTTGCCTATCCTAAGAGCAAAGAGCAAGATTTTTCTGCTGCTCTTTACCTTTCATTTGAAAATTGTTTTAGCTAACTTAGGAGTTTTGGCAATGTCTTGCGTATGCTCTGATACATAAGGAGGTACCACATATACCAAACGGCTTAGAGAAATCACATCCCTGATCTATTTCAGTTGTTTCTGTTCACTTACTGATTAACTTGGTTCTGACACACCTTATGGGAAAAACTTAACTGGCAAGTTTTAACAGTAATCAGGTTGATAGCATATCCAATTCTTGAATGTTGAAGAACTCCTGAGTGTGCAATTGCCCTCTTCTTAAACTTCTTAGAAAAGCCCTATTAAGCTACAGATTATCAAAATAGATGTCAGTCCAGATGTATATAAACATGAAATCAGAGCTGAGAACTCCCACCTTATATGAGATTGTTCAACACCAAGATATCATAGGTCTTTTCTCCAGTCCACAGAAACGAGTCAATTTAAGTAGCTGATAGAGTGTCACCCTTTTAAAGTGTCTGCTTCACACTTCTGAAGGCTGAGTTGGCCTTGTTCCTTTGTAACATAAAAAATTAGATTTTAAAAGGTACCCTTTTTGTCACAACCAATAAATACAGACTTATAGTACACTGAAGAAAAAATATTGCAGGACTGTGAACTACTTTTAGTTTGATTGTGAACTTGGTGCCTAATGTTCTGTCTGAAATGTGCCCCATTGCTACGTGTAGGAGTGTACATATGTGTTTGTTTTGCAATTGAAGTACACTTTTGCCTGTGTGGCACTGTTTTGTTTGTTAATAAAGTGCACTACCACCCCTGACTCAGACCTGGCTTCTCTATATAGTTTATTGTCCCAAGGTTAGATGGCTTCTTATAGCAGGTCACAATGAGGCTTTGTTTATGGATGATGGGTTTAAAAAGCCACTTTGTATTGATTCCAAATTCTCAGTTTGTTTTGACTCTCATGTTTTATCAGGGTTTCCTGGGAGCTGATTAAATGCTCAAATATTGTCTGCCTGGGGTATCATCAGTCAGTGTAGAGTCTGATTGAAGCTTTCTCACCTAATTAACTTGTAATACCTTGAGCAAATCACTTTGGTTCTCTGCCTCAGTCTCCCCATCTGGAAAAGGGTGGGTTGTACTTGATGGCTTCTAAGGATTCTTTTAATGGCAGCATTATGTGATTTATGCGTTTGTTGCCAGCACTCTATGTTTGCTTATCAGTATAGCAGGAGCAAGTCATTCTGCCTTTCTGCATCTTGTCACTCCTTTGTCTTAGGTTAAGTTTCCAGGAAACAGACTGAGATGCAGAGTCAGGACAGAAAGTTTATTGGGATAGTTCTCAGGAAATAGAAGTACATTGGTGAGGAAGGCAGAATTGGGCAGGAGTTTACCTTCCAAACAGTTGCAACTGAGGCCTCAGTAGATCCTAAGGGGGAGCTGGGAAGGCTTTTCAGAATTATCCCCCATTGAGGCAAGGGAGTCTGGCTTCTGCATCTCTTCATTAGCTGTCTCTGGGAGGAGGAGCTACTTTGGGTGAGGAACTGCAGCTGTGAATTGAGATCAGCTTGCATTCCCAGCAACTGGGGGACTCAGGGAGGGGCACTCACAACATCCACTTTACTCCCTCCAAAAATATATGTTGCCTTTTGTCATCTAAAATACGTTGTGGGTTGCCTGGCCAGGCGTGGCTCAGCGGTTGAGGGTTGACCTAGGATCCAGGCGATTGGGATTCGATTCCCGGTCAGGGAACATGCCCGGGTTGTGGGCTTGATCCCCAGTCAAGGGCTTGCAGGAGGCACCCGATCAATGACTCTCTCATCATTGATGTTTCTATCTCTCTTTCCCTCTCTTTTCCTCTCTCTGAAATCAATAAAGATATATTTAAAAAGTAAAAATAAAATAAAATATGTTGTGGACTTGAGCTTTGTTTTTTATAAATAGAAGAACTATTACTGTGAAACTGTTCCTGTTAGGTAAGGTAACTGCTTTTAAAAGGTTGTATTTCTGCACTATTCTTTATGTGGAAAGAAAATATCAGGATTGGAAGGAACTCTGGAAATGTTTCAAACTCTGTCTCAATGAAGGAGCCCCCTTCTGCAATTTACTAATAGAAAGATCAAGGTGGGTGTTGGAGGAGAATGTGCATTTATAAGCATGGGTCCAAAATCTAATGTCTTTAGGAGTCAGGCAGCCAAAAATGAGCAACAGGCATGATACATTAAGAAGCAGTGGGGATTATGGCTGACCTAGGGAGTATCTGTCCCTCAGAAAAGCATTTATATTCAAATTACTTTAAAAGATTGCTAACAAATCAAGACACATTTGAAGGCTTTGCTCACATGTCCAAATTGTTCTCAAGTCTCATAAATAAATGCAAGGTTTGGTTTTACATGACGTAAATGATAAATTCTTTTTGGATGTCTTTGATTTCCTGAGAAATCAACACCAAGATTGATCATTTTGTAAAACGTACTAGAGCAGGTAAGAAAGGCCTGATAAAGGATAAAAAGAGAAGGGGAGACAGGAAAAAAGCCCTCTTAGGTAAGAAATCTCCCACGAGAAATAACCCATCCTCCAGTACATCCCAAGGTAATGTTTATCTTCTACTATGTCAATGTCATGATTGATGAGCAGCCAAACTTTACAGAAAAACCTCATCCTCACTATGAGGTAGAAATCACAACTCTTTTCACAGTGTTAAATCTCTGTTGACTATGATATAATTCCAATAAGCAGGACATCAACATTGAATGAATCAATTTTTTAAAACTATACTGACCACTGCACTGAGGTGGTGATAAAATGCAAGGTATGTGCCTTAGTCTAGAGTCATTGGAGAAACTGGATGGGAAAAAATGAAGGTATTGGGTAATAGTAACAATTCCCTTTTCTCTATCAGAGCTTGGTTTCCTTCCTTGACCAAGACCATTCTCTTCAGAATTCAAATGCAGGTCTCAGAGCCACAGTTGGTGTAAACTAGTAGTCTTAACCTGGATCCAGGTTTGGAAAGGCAGCTTAGGGGCCTCATGTGAAAAAAATTGGCTTGAGGGAACTTGGAGTTCCTTCGAGGTGGGTCACAAGCTACTTAAGCAAGATTCCACTCAATGCATGTATGACTCATATGACTATTATTTATTTACACTCTTTTATGGTCACACATCAGTGGGAACCATGTTTTCCTATTAATGGGCCTCGTATATTTCCCAAGAACCACAGAGATCCATAGGTGAAACTGTGGTAGAGTGTAGTGGTGTGGGTGTATGTTTGGGTGGTGGGGTGGGAGCAAGAAAAAGAGAAGGAAAATGGTGGGGGAAGGGTTGTGTAAATGTCCACAGAGCAACATGATGAGCATTTTGATGGGCTGATACCACCAAAGTGAATAAGACACACCTGAACTTGCCTTTATAGAGTTGATGGGATCAACATCTTCTAGGGTCACAACGCCATGAAACTAGAAATCAGCCACTGTAAAAAAACTCAAAAATATTCAAACACATGGAGGCTAAATAGCATGTTATTAAACAATGAATGGGTTACCAAGGAGATCAAGGAAGAAATCAAACACTTCATGGAAAGTAACAAAAATGAACAGAAAACAACCCAAAATCTATGGGACATGGCGAAAGCAGTCCTGAGAGGAAAATTCATAGCATTACAGGCCTATCTCAAGAAACAAGAAAAAGATCTAATGAACCATCTAACACAACAACTAAAAGAACTAGAACAAGAACAGCAAGAAAAGCCCCGAGGAAGTAGAAGGAAGGAAATAATAGAGTTGATGGGAAAAGTTAAGTAGTGCAGGTAAAGGCTTAGCATAGCAAACAATAAGTATTAACCATTATCCATTAAGCTTTTAGAATAGAAGCAGAAAGAAGGTACTTTTATATTTTTGTGAGCAGTTATTGCCCTGTATTTTTACAATCATTCAACACATATTTACTGAGCACCTACCATGTGCTGGCAGGCATTACTGGGATTCAGCAGTGAAAAGACAGAATTTACCTCTTGGAGCACATAGCCTACTGTAGATACCAAGCAACAAATTTGTTTGGGCTCTGGCCAGTGCTATGAAAAACAAAATACTATGAATGCAAGGGAAGTTTCTAGAAGGACATAGATTTAAGGGAAGGTTTCTAAGATCTGTCTTCAAACCTCTGTAAGTCACTGACTGTGTAGAAAGTTAGTGAGGACACTGAATAGGGCAGAGAAAGAAAATAAAAATGAGATGGTCTCTTAGTCCATTCAGGCTGCTGTAACAAAATGCCATAAACTGGGTTACTCATAAACAGCAGAAATTTACTTCTCACAGTCCAAGTGCCAGCAGATTTAGTGTCTGTAAGGGCCCATTTTATGGTTCATAGACTTCTAACTGTATACTCACAGGGTGCAAGGGGCAAGGGATCTCTGCAGGGTCTCTTTTATAGGGCACTGATCCCATTCATGAAAGCTCCACATTCATTCCCTTATCACTTCTCAAATACCCAGCCTCTTAATACCATCAACTTTGAGGTTAGAAATTCAACATACAAGTTTGGGATTAGGGGTGTCACAAACATTCAGGTCATATCAGATGGCCTGGCTAAATGGTAAAGAAAATCACCAGCATCATCAGTTAAGTTCTGAATGCTAAATCCTATTTCCTCCATTGATCACTGTTCACCCCTTTAGTCTTCTATTTTTCCCATCTACCTCGCCCTTCTCTGCAATCTGAGATATTTAACAACTGAGACTCTGTCTCCCAGCCCCTTGTAGCAAGGAGCAGCCTAAATTTGTTTTAAAAGAGTGCCATCTTCTGGCCAAACACCACTGTTTCCTTCCAAGGGAAATCCTAAAGTATTCAAGTCAATTTCATTCTTGGGAGAAACTGAGGTGTCACCTGCACCCAGAATTTCCTCCAAACACACTTGCCTGTGCTTTCTTACTTTCCAATTGCAACATAAATAAAAAATATTAATGTCTAATATCCACAGCTTTTCCTCTGCCTTAATCTCCCAGGAAGATTTTTTGTTGTTGTTAGAACTGCTTGGTTTCTCAGCCTCTGTTGTGTTCATCTGGGTAATGGGTGAGAGTGAAATTTTGTGGGAGTTGAGAGAGGTGGAATTGGTTTTAGGTTAGATAGGGCAAGGGACTAATCTGGGAAAGACAGAAAAAAGGGATGGGGAGAAGAGGAGAAATTTTCAGAAAGTCAACTTGGACTTATGGAATGCAACTGGAGGGAAGAAGGGGTTTTCAAAAGCTGTCCTGAAAGCCTAGGGAGACAGAAAGTTAGGAGGATGTTAAGGAAGTTTGGTTAGGAGGTATGTGGTGCAATAAAGATCTACACTACTCTTTAGGCTTTGGGAGTCAAAATTGTGTTTCTTTTAGACACTATATTGTACTGGGACCACCTTAGAGTTTCGCCAAGCAGCCTATGTTATTCTGGGTTATATAAACTCAGAAAACATATAGCTAATAGTTCTTGGCATCTTCAATAGTGCCTAAGAGTCCTGTAAGATCACTTGAGAGATCTCAGTGGAACTAGACAGAAAAGACCTCAGCAACTCTGCCCTGAAAAGGCCAACATCTAATCTGGTAAACAATGCACCCCAAACTGGATAGACACTAAATAGGTCTGGCAGTGAATTTGATTTATATTAAGAAAATAAGCAAAGGAGGTCTGCTTGTCCAGTATGTGTCTTCAGCCAGCTACCATTGTATCAGTATAAACCGGTGGGCATGGGAGATGCAGATGTGGTGCCCTTAGATGGGCCCAATGAGGCTGCCAGTGTTACTTGTATTTAGACTGTGTAGAGCAGGACTGTGCATCCTAAAGTCAAG